GGAAATCAGTATGGAGATACCTCAAAGAACTAGGCTTAAAGGTCCCATTTGACCCAGCTATCCCTCTGCTGGGTATCTTCCCAAAGGAATCAAAGGAATCATACCACAGTGATATATGTGCACCCATGTTTATAGCGACACAGTTTGTAATAGCTAAAGCTTGGAAACAGCCCAAGTACCCATCAACTGGAGATTGGATAAAGAAGAAGTGGGTTTTTTTGTTTTGGTTTTTTTAATAAAATGGTGTACTATTCAGCCATAAAGAATGACAAACTAGAGACAATTATAGCTAAATGCATGCATATTGAAGCCATCTTCTTAAGTGAAATATATAGGACTCAACATGTGTAAATACCAAATAGTTTCTCCAGTGTGAGAAACTGAAAGTGTAATTAAGGATTGAAGTGATTAAAACAATTAATTGATAATTTGAAATATGAAGAAAAAGTTCAAAGGGGTAAAGGTGGCAGGAAGGGAAGGGGAGAGATCAGAGTTACAGGCTGGAATCTGGAAAGAATCCATATATAGACTGTGTTTAAAACTATGGGAAGAGATGTAGATAGAGACTAGGCTGGAGCTCATCAGTGGGTTGGGAAGGAAGAGTCACTGAGATCAAAGGAGAGGAGGGTGTGTTTCCAGAAGAAGCACATACAACTATGTATAGTACACAGTACTCGACAGTGTGATAAATGACTGTTAGTGTTTTAGGTACTTACCATAACATGCTGAGCTTTTCATCCTTTAGAGGATAATCCTACTTACATAGTTTACTGTAAAACAGTGTGCTGCTATGCCAGTGGTAGCTTCATGTATCTCATGTTTAACTGCATATGTGGATAATATCAAGCGGCCATCACAGATGATTGATGTATACCTTCTCAGTTTACACTTAGAAGTTGGCACTCTGTGTGGTACTTTGCGATACACACAGATTAAATTGCCTAATAACATATGTCTCAGATTATATTTTCATCACGTGTCACATGACTGTATTGAAATTTAAATTTAAAAAAATTTGGCCTATGTGGAGTCTACTACTTAATTAGAATTTTTTCTCCAGACCACCATTTGTTCAATATTAGTTTTGAAAATCTTTCTAAAACAAATCACATCTTCTGATGTCTTGTTAATGCTTGAGATGTTTTTTTAAATTATGTGGAAAAATGTTTAAGTAGTCTTCAGTTTTGCTTTGGTTGAGTTCTATTATATTTGAATATTATTATAGGTTTTTTCCCTTGCATTGCTTTTTTTTGAATAATTTTAAATTTTATATATGTGTGTGTTTAGTGAATGATAACAGCTATACATTTTAAATTTACAAAATAGGAAGCGTTATGTTAATATTATATAGAGCAGAATTCAAAGTAAAAAGTTACTAAAGATTGAGGAACATTATATAATAATAACACGGTTCTGAAAAGCAGAAGGAGAAAGAAGAGGAGGAGGTTAGGGTGATGTGAACTGGCTCCACCATTTTTGGCTCTGAGGATGAAGAAAAGGGGTCAGGAGCCATGGAATGTGGGCATCTCCAGTGGCTGGGAAAGGCAAGGAGATAAAGTCTCCTCCACAGCACTTCTAGTAAGTGACAATCAGGCCAATCAGTATCAGCCAAAGGGTAAAAGCAGTACCAACTTTAAAATTTCCTTGAGGGTGGCCATAAAAGACAACACATATTCAGAAGGTCAGTTTATGGCCATTGTTTTCACTAGAATCTAAAAATCATTTTAGAATTGGTGTGCCATTTGTGATTTTAAATAGCAATAAATCTCAACTTTAAAAAAGTAACTTGAATAGCAGTTCCGGAAAAAGAAACAGCTCTTGGAAGTTGTAAGCAATGAATGATTATGGTTTCCCTGCTTTGGTTTAAAATTAAAAAAAACAAAAAAAAAACAACCTAAATTATGAAGGGATTGTAGAGTTATAAAATGTTCTGATTTTTGCCATAAAAACTACTTCAGCTATATTTAAAATACCGAAAACCAAATTATTTCTAAAGCAGGTTTGGCTCGTTGCATGGCTGTTACATGCCCTTGGGCCTCCCCAAAAAAGGAACTGATTATCTTGTGAGGAGATTTTTCTCTAATCATCTGAAGGCCTCTGAAGTCACAGGATACTCAATTTTCTTAGGAGGATGGCACACTGTGGCTTCGTCAAAGGGATGAATGGGGCAATGAAGAAAGAAATTACAACTTTGTAATCTTTTTGCTGCTATTATAGTTTTAATGAAACACTTCTAGACAAGGTACTAACTTGGTCACACATTAAGTTAACACAAGCTTTTTTTCGGTTCTTATACAATTTAGAAATCTCTAAAATATATCACTTTTAATAATATTTTTTAATATGCTTATGAGCATTAATAATATAATTTAAAAAATATTTGGCCATTAGATATTCAAATCCAAATTTATTTCTTTAAATATTTCGGGAACACATGTCTTAGTGTGAATGGATAATGAAATAGAATCTTTCTTGGACTGACCCTAGTCTGCATTATATTTCAAATGTTCTTTCCTTGCTAGCTTTTTGTCTTAAATTTCCTTTTATGCCTGACAAATTAGGCAGTATTCAAATTTTACTAACGAATTTAATACTTGCACACTGAGTTAGGAAAAAGCAAAGATTAGAAGATTTTATTTTAAAAGGAAGACAAGAAAACTTCAAAATGGTGGACTAGCAGGACCTCGGAGCCACAGTCCTCCAAAACCAACAGATACGCACCTCTGGAAGGAGACCGAAATTCAGGAGATCACAGCCCGAGAGTGGACGTATCCAGGTGAAATCCAGAGAGACTAGCTATTAGAAAGAAAAATGAATCAGTTGAAACTTGTTATAACTTTAAGGCATAGATGCTACCACCTGACAGGAGCAGCTGGTTATCAGCCCTTTTGAGACCTAGAAAGAGGCAAGTGTGACACAGTAGAGTCACAAGATTGGCAGAGAAACTACCTGCCCCGTTGCCCTGGGGATGGCCCAATAAGCAAGGAGTCCTTTTCTGCCAGTGGCCACCACGACACTGATGAAAAGCAGACAGGTGGCGAGGCATAGACGTAAAATGAAGCAGTGATTTACGGCGCGTGCTGATTTACGACGAGGCATTGTTTTAAGATGCAGTGGAAAAACCTGGAGAAGAGGGGACACGGAAGGGTTGGCGCAGAGCACAGTGCTCGTAAGGCATGGAATGAGCAGAAGAAGACGGCCGCAGGAACCAGTGTGGACGGAAGGGGACTGAGATAGGGGAAGCCGCTCCAGAGCACAGCGGGCTGGTGCCAGACTGCCCCGCTGTGCCCAGCCCACCTCCACCCACTCGAAGGCGCCTGGTCGCCTGGTCAGAGGACAGAGGCCAGGCTTCCATCCGGGCACACGTAGGGGAGCTGCCCGAAATCCAGCAACGCTCTGCCGCCTGTGGGCATGAGAGGCAGTTTGGGTGGTCCGTCGGCATTCTCCAGCCCCTTTAGCCTTTGGTAGACAGGAGCACAGGTGGATTGCAGGGAACCAGCTGGAGCGTGGTGGGCACACCCAGCTCCCAGCCAGCACCACAGGCCGCGGCTCGGCCTCCCCGCCGTGCAGGGTCCCTTCGTATGGAACACAGGAAAAGAGTGGCCTGGTCCAGTTCTGACTGTAGTGTGCGAGAGGACTGTTTGTTTTCGTGGGCTTTTGTTTTTTCTTTTCTTTATCTGGTGTTGCTTTTTGAAAGTCGGGGTGAGGGTGTTTGTGAGACATTGAGAGGAAGGCATCCGATTATTGCTCTGACCTCCATAGTCATTACCAAGTCCAGGTAACGTTCTTCCTTCCACACCGAGGTACCCTGAGCCCTCCATCACGTTACATTTAAACTCCCTTTCCCCCGCTTTGACTTACACGCCCCTCACACCCTCTTAAATCTCCCCTTCCTCCCTCTTTTTTTGTTACACAAATATCAACGCAGTGTATTATTTATTTATTTTTATTTGCTCTTTCTTCTGATACTGCTTTTTATAAGAGCTGGGATGGTGGCTTTGTGCTAGTAAAGTAGGACCATGAGTTACTGCTTTTTTGAAATTTTTATTTTTATTAGTACATATTTGCAGTATGTAATGAATACATTCATTGTGGGGTGTGGGTATATATACATAACACATCTTAATTGTTTTTCTCCCCTTCTCCCATTCCTCCCCTCTCCCTCCATGTCTTGTTCTCCTTACCTTTTTAAAAATATCTCTCTATTTCTTATCATCGTTTATTTTGTTCTTTATATTTTTGGTATCATATAAGAGAAATCATGCAATATTTAAACACGTGTGTCTTATTTATTTCACATTACATAGTCTCAAAATGCATCCATTTTCTTTCTTTTCTTTTTTTTTGGTACCAGGGATCAAACTCCGGACCTTGCTCTTGCGAGGCAGACGGCGGCACCACTGAGCTAAATCCCTGGCCCTGCACCCATTTTCTTACAAATAACTTGTTTATTCTTCCTTATATAAGGTAGAGTAATATTCCATTGTGTATAAGCACCACATTTTCTTTATTCTTTCATCTGTTGATGGACATATGGGCCACTTCCAAGATTTAGCTATTATGAGTTGTGCTGCTATAGACATGGGTATGCTTATATCCCTGTAATACGATGTCTTTAACGCTTTAGGGAACATACCTGGAAGGGGAACAGCTGGGAAAAAAATGGAATGTTTATTTTTAGTTTTTTGAGGAAATTCTACTGATTTCCATAGTGTACTAGTTCACACTACCAACAGCAATGAAGAAGGGTTTCTTTTGGCTCACAGCCTTGCCAGCATTTGTTATTATTTGATTTGATGATAATAGCCATTCTTTCTGGAGTAAAGTAAAATCCCATTGTTGTAAATTGTATTTTTCTAATGGCCAGAGATGTTGAACATTTTCTCATGTATTTATTGGCCATTTGTACTTCTTCTAAGAGGTGTCTAGTCATTTCAGTTGCCCATGTTTTGATTAGGTCTTTTATTTTGGGGTGTCTAATTTTTTGGAATTCTTTATATATCTTAAATATCAGTTCTCTTTCCAAGGAGTAGCTGGCAAAAATCTTTTCCCATTCTGTGGGTTACCTCTTCACTCTGTTGGTTGTTTCCTTTGCTATATAGAAGCTTTTTAATTTGATATGATGAGTTATTTCTTTTATCTGAAGGGTTCCTTACCAAGTCATGTTAGGTTCTCCCATGACAAGTGTTGTTTCATAGGGATAGCTAGATTAGTTTTTCATTTTGGTCATAAATTAGACTCAACCTCCCTGCCCTCCACCACTTCCCCTACTATAATTAGTTCTGTTCACAATCCTCTCAAATCCCCCTTGCTCTCCACAATTTTATGTGACACAAATACTATCAGCACAATGTATATTTCTCATTTTTCTTTTCTGCTTTCTTGGAATATATATGTGAGGTGTATGTATATGTGCAATGGTGAGTAAGGGTTAATTACTGCTTTAGTTCATGTATTGTCTTATATTAACATGTCAAGTTAACTTTCACCAAGAGTAGTATATGGAGGCTTTGAACATAAGGTTGCTACCAGCCTATTAATTTGTCTGTCTTTCTAGGTTATTGAAAATATGTGAAAAATTTTAACAAGTTTTAAATTATATTTTGATATATGGTTGGTTCTGTAGAGGCTAATAGTTATCTTTTCTTCCAAACATAGTAATTAGGACTGTTCCTAATATGATCCATAAGTTGAATATGTGCATGAACAACACCAAAGCATATCCAAACCCAAGGCCACATCACAGGGAGATACCCAGTAACTAAGATATTGCCACAATAGTGGCCGAGCTTTCTGCACTAACTGATCTACAGCCCCCAACACAAATACAGTAGAAATATGAGAAAATAAGACAAAAGGATTTCTATGAAAAATCTTAACTCCTGAAAAAAATGCTTCTCTCATATGCACTGAAGGGGAGGAATTTTCACACAAAGAACTCCAATAGAAAATCTTAAAAATGTTCAAAGAGATCAAAGAAGAGATAAATACATGCATGAAGCAATTACTAAGACATTCAGTGAGCTCAAAGAAGATAAATGAGATTAAAGAAGGTACCAAAAAACAACTGAATATGGATGACAATGCATTATATAAACCACTTTAGTAAAGAATTAGAGTATGAAAAGAAATCATGCAGAAATCTTGGAAATAAAAATACAATTGAAATGTATGGCAGTACATATGACCAATTGAAGGAGAGAACATCAGGACTTGAAAACAAGACTGATGTGTTAGACCGTCTTGTCAGTGATGCTACAGCATGAAAGGTTGGTCCAAGAGCTCCTGAATGACTAAAAGAACAAATTAAAAATTACAGAATTTAAGGAAAGATTAGTGAAGAAAACTAAAGGTATATAAAAACTATTCATCAAAATCATTGCAAAAACTTCTAAATCTATCCATGAAATGGATGCTTGGGTTAAAAAAGGCAGGAAGTACTGTAACCATGGATTCAAGTTGAGCTACAGAGCTATAGTAATAAAAACAAGATGGTTCTGGATTAAAAAATAGAGCCTCATGTAGGTTTAACCATGTGGTCAATGACAAAGAATCTAAAAAGAAATGCTGGAGAAAAGATATCTTTAACAAATGGTACTGTGAAAACCGGTTATCCTTGTGCAGAAGAATGAATCTAAACTCAGTTATCTCACCTTGTGCTAAAATCAAGTCAGAATGGATCAGACACCTAGATACAAATCAGAAATATTGACTCTGATGGAAAATAAAATAGAGAAAATAGCAGAGGCATGCACATAGGCAAGGACTTCCTGACCTGAACTCCAGTTGCACAAACAAGAAATTATACCAAGAATCAGCAAATGAAATTATATTAAATTTAAAAAAAATTATATTAAATTAAAGTTTTTCTGCATAGAAAAGAAAATAACTGAGTGAAAAGACAACCTGCAGAATGGGAAAAATATTTTACCAGCTCCTTTTCTGATAGTGGGCTAAAAAAAAAAACACAAAAAAATCAAAACAAAAAAACCCCTAGTTTCTAAAAAAACACAACCCAATCAAAGAATGGGCAAATGAAATAAGTAGACAATTGTCAAAAGTATATATAGGAATAAATATATGAAAAACTATTCAGTATTGTTGGCCAATAAGGACATGCAAATGGAATGAAACAAGAAGTTTCCATCTTATTCCAGTAAGAATGGGTATCATTAATGACATAAAAAAACAACAAATGGTCATAAGGATGTGGGGAAAAGGGAACCCTTCTACATTATTGGTAGGGATTTAAACTAGTACAACCATTATGGAAATTACTATGGAGATTCTTCAAAAAACACAAAGTAGAAATTCCATTTGAACCAGCTTTACTTCTGGATAGCTTCCCAAAACAGCTAGACATCCTAGTACATTGATATATGCCTATCCATGCCCAAAACAGCTAAATCATGGAAACAGCCTAGGTGTTCAACAACAGATGAATGAATAAACAAAATGTGGTATGTATAAACAATGAATTATTCTTCAGCTACAGAGACGCTAAATTTGAGTCATTTGTAGGAAAATGGATAGATCTCAAATGAATCAGACATAGAATCTTAAATATAGAATGGTTTCTTTTATGTGAGAAACATACAATATAAATAATTTAAAGAGTAAAATGATAGATGACAGGGAGAAGTAGACATTTTAGAGGTAAGGAAGGGGATCAGGGGAGGGAGGGAGAAGGAAGAATAGGAAAGGGGAGAGAGCAAATGAAAAGTGATCAAGATATGCTATATAGGTACCAAGTCTGCCAAATGAATATAATTATTATGCATCACAAAGACCAGTGAAAAATTTAAAATTTAAAATGGAAAAATATAAATGGAAAACAAATTTCCACTGAGAAATGTATGAAATTTTGATTCTTCGTAGTCTATGTTCACATATCTTTAATACTCCATTCCATTTGACTGGGAACATAAAGTAGCTATTTAA